ATAGATGTATACTGTTACAAACTTGGAGCTACTTAGGATAAACGAATGCAGTTTCATGTTACAATATGAAGTCATTCTAGAAAGAAAAAAAAGAGTTAATTTAGGTTTATTTTGTTGTTGTTTTTTCGTGGTTATGAGGTCGGTCAAAATTGACCAATCCTGTTTTTAGATACAGTAGAGAGAATAACAGATAAACTATAAAATTTTACTGAAACAAAACGTTTGAAATGCATTTAGGAGGTTTTAGGGATCACACATAGGAAATTTGAGAATTTTGAGATAAGGAAAAGTATTTTTAATTTTAACATTAAAATTACTTTGCGCACGAACTATTCAAAACAAATACTCAGTATATTCATGGATAAATCTTTATTTTATTTTGTTAAAAATACTTCACCAAAATGTGTGATTTTTTTATATGTGAAAAACTTGTAATATTAACTGAAAGACTGCCAAATTTTGTGAAGATATACACACTATATTTAAAGTTAAAAGTATTAAATCTATAAAGACTTTAAACAAGTACAAAGATGTCAAGTGGTCGGTCAAATTTACTGATCGCATGTTGAGAGTGTTAATTTGGACATTTTATGTGTGGAAAATTTAACTGCAGTTGAAGAAAATAGCATTATTGATCTCTCATGTGATGCTTCACTAACATAATTTTTTGGCCAAACAAACTTGACAGACTTTTGGTTGGATGTGAGGCATGATTATCCTGAACTGTCATTCAAAGTAGTAAAATATTTAATGCCATTTCTTACAACCTATTTATGTGAGTGAGGTTTCTCTCAACTTACTTATATAAAATTGAAGCATAGAAATAAGATAAATGAGGAGCTAGATCTTCATTTGAAACTGTCAGACATTGACCCAGAAATTCGCAAGATTGTTTCAGCAAAGTAGTAACATCCTTCACATTAAAGTAAGTCGTAAGATTTTTTAAAGTTTTCCTCATTTAAATTTCTTTTTCATTGTTCTTTTCTTAAAACTAGAATCAAGCTGTAAAAGTAGTAAAATATGCATATGATATACCAGTTACACATAATAAAAATTACTTTTAATGGGAGGTGGTCTGCCAATACTGTAAAGAAATTGTAAGGGGTCTGTAAGTTGGCAAAGTTTGGGAACCCCCAACTTAAGTAGTTTCCTTGGCACTTATGTAATAAGTCGCATGGAGGATGAGAGAGTGTAGAACTTTTCAATAAGGTGATGCATGTAATACCTTATGGCAAGAATTCAGAACCAAAGGTCACATAATTGTTGACAGTGAGAACAACTGAACAAAAAAAGGCTTACAGTATTTCATAGGTATGTACCTGCTTGAAATTTAACTTAACCCTGAAAGTGTAAAAGTTATTGCTTAACATTAATACTTCTCTGTTGTGAAGTAACATGAAACATAATCATTCACAGGTTAAAAAATATGCAGGTGTTTTAAAAATATCCAGGTGTTTCCTCTTATTGCAACAATTATTGAATCTATAAGTTTTCAGTTTTTTTTTTTAAACCCACTAAATTAGTTGTAATGCTTGATTCAACTTATTCATATCAATTAACAAAGACAGTGATGCAAACCAGATAAGATAATAAAATACTTATTTAAGGTTGATATTTACATATTGATAGTGTTACTGAGACACAAAACATGAGGACACATTACATGTAAGGTTGTTTTAGTGGTTTTGAAAATGTAAACTATTTACCTAATAACTAGAGCTTCCAATTTCATGAAATGGACCATCAATAATTGTATTAACTTTCGAACTTTTGGGATTGAGAAGTACCTTAACTTGAGTTGTAATTTTTAATTTTATTTCATAACAAAGCTTTGTATCTTTTATGTATTTATCCAAAGGCTAGGTAAAGTATTCATGTTTTTTGTACAATCACCCCACGTGAGTAATGATTGGTATAACCACAATTATGAGACATAGTTTTGGACAAGCTACAGCTAAGTGATGTAATTTCATTTTACTGGACTTTGATCAATCATTATATTTTGTAAATATGACAAATATTTTAAGATTATGTTATTTTTAAGTTTAATTTTTTTTTCATTCCATGATGTCCTTATTTCAGGATCCTCTTGTAAATCCTGAAACTGTTACGGGAAGGCCAACCCCTCGTCAGGATCGAATACTTCAGCAGCTTTCCTCTTTAAGACAGGTAGATTTTTAGTTGAGAAAGTCAGCTGATGATCTCAGAATAAACACCATAACTTTGGCCATTTGTAAAACAGTTGTTTAGACTTGAAGTTTGGTTTTTTGTAGCAAAAAGAATATTTGTCATGTTTAAACAAAGTTGCACAATAATTGAACATGTATTGTTGATCTTTAACATTAATTGTTGCATAACTTACAAAGATTACTTTTTGTTCTGAATTGTTTGTTTATAATTCTCAGACTTTTCATCGTTTATTAATTTTATTCACTGAAATTATGGCTTAACCTAAGAGGAAAGAGATAAATAGACTTAAATTGTGACCTTGAACCTCTAGAAGTTCACTTTTTAAATTGCAGCCTCAAAGTTAGTGTGCTCGGAATGTGAATCTGAAAGTTTGTTGTTCGTGGCCTGTTGGTGCAAAAGCATATTCTGCACCTTGTATTCTTGAGTTCGCTTTTAGAGTGATAAATTCAGATAAGAGTAAACCAAGAGTTGATAATAGGCACTGCCTTCCTCTTAATCAGTAAGTTCAAGATTAGGGATGACTTGGAGCAGATAGCCTAATGTTTAGTTTAACATCAAAACTCTGAAACAAATAACAGTTACAAGTATAAACATAAAAGCAATATCTATGAGCTTTTCCCATGCAAATTCCATAATTTAATTCTTTAACATAGCCAATGGATAACTCTACAGAATTAATTTATTTGTTGAACGTATTGATTCAATAGATGGTATTTTTTAGTATTTTGCAATTGTTTACTTTTTTTTTATTTCAGGGCCTTATGGAAAAGCAGAAAGAACTAGAGATGTTGTTTAGAACTAAAACATCTTGATGGATGCTTCATATTGTATTTCAGAGGGGTTCATACAAGACGTTCACAGCCTTCTGAGTGTCCTTTAAATAAGTTATTTTTTTCTTTTCACTTAAAAATCGATTTTGTTTTTCAACTATTAAAGTATAAATGACTGAAATTTATGTTTAGGAGTGAACTTTTATAAAAGTTTGTTTGAGAGTGAGGACTAGTGACTACCGTGCCAGAAATTGAATGTTATATTTACAAATATTCTCTGTGCCATTGAGAACAAGGGAAGTTATGGATAATGATATGATTTCTGTTTTAACGGAACCTGAACATTTACTGAGAGTAAAACCTTGCCTGTTTTTGCTATGCATATATTTCCTTACCAAATGTGGCTTTACTGACAGAAAGAAGAGATTTGTATAAAATATGGAGTACACTTTAGCTCTTAAATGATCTTGTGCATTGACAGTCTTACAGAGCATCATTGCTTCATCAGTACAGAATAAGTAAGAGCAAAATAGTTCAGCCGATAACAAACTTCAGCTGTTGTCCATTCGTAATTCAGAAATATGATCTCAAGTATTTGTTTCCTTCACATTTGGTGAAATAAAACTTATTAAATGGTTAGAAAAAATTATCAGTAATACTATTTGGTCCTAATGTTTGAAGAAATTTAGCCTTGAACTAGAAAACAAAATTGATTTGGTGAAATTCCCTGAATGCATCTGTGATTTTTTTGCCTTTTTTCCGCCCCTGATGTATGAAAGACTCTTTTTTAACGTCACAAAAAATATCAACTGGAAATCACAAGTCATTCTTTTGTATTCAGAATGAGAGTGACAGCAGTGTTTGTTTTCTTGATCGTATTAAGTAGAGGCATGAAGTACTTGTTATCAATAACCCATGAGCAACAGGAAATTGTCTTTCATTTTTTTATTGGATTTTTGATTCTAGATAAGTTTGTACCTGATTTTGAGAAGACAAAGTGAAAATATTATAAAGTTTTATGTCTGTTTGATCCATAACTAACTGGAACTAAAATACAGTTCTAAAAACTGAGGTAATATGTAATTAACACAGTGACAAAGGCAGTAAAGAAATCATTTGAGTTAAGTTGGTAAGTGAAGATGAGCAGTTGATCTCTGAGTATGGCTGGGTCATAGTGTGTATGTCACAACATTTTACAGAGTTACATTCAAAATTTAAATAAACAACTATTGTCAATAAACTTGACATCAAATGTAGTTTATAATTCAAAGGGAAGTATTTAAATACATTTTTAATCTTCATTTCTCTGTATCTCATGGCATTTCTATGCTCCAAATTGCCCATTTTAGATTGATTTATTACCCCCTGTATGTACTTCTGAGTTTGAATAAATAAATAACACTATAACACTCTTGTGAAAGCAGAAAAAAAACAAGAAGCAAAGTGCAAGTATTAAACTTCTTATTTCTTTATGTATATATTTTTATTTATTGTTATTAAAAGTAACTACAATTAAAAAAAATTGAAACTTATTAGGTTAGATAAGAAAATAATTTAGAAAAAAAATCCTCAATGAGGTACGGTTGCAAGTTCATCATATGTTACATAATTTGATACTTTATTAACTCTAACTTGAGCTGTGCACTGGCTAAATGATTTATTGCTTTGTTTCAGCTAATTTATTAGTTAGATACAGTTCATACAGTAATAAAACCAAATGAAAGCATATATGAAAATGGTAGTGGCCTAAAGTTTTTAGGATTTAACAATTAAAATTTTCTGTTACAATCTGTTAGCATTCTAAAAAAACAATAATTACTTTTGGTGGTTTTGTTTCATATTTTTCAACTTTTGCTGTAAATGATTTCACTACAATTAGTGTTAGGGTAGAGAAAGTAAGAGATAAGGTATAAATTTTACCAAAAAAAATCTTTTCATATTTATTTAGGATAATCTTAATGTTACATAAATGAAATATGAAAACTGTAAAATAAAAAAAGTATTTTTATTCTGAACATGAAAATCATCTTTCACTTGTTACACTGACTCATAAATTCTTTCGGAAAAAGACATTATTTAAAAATCAGAGTTTTTGTAGTGTACAACGGACTTTTCGTATTTACCAAAAGCTTGCCAAATTTCATGAAGGTACACTTAGTAAATTTGAAATTATAGTAAACATTGTTATCTATAACCTATCAGATATAGAGGGTTGGTGCAATACACTAATGCCATACACGTAGGGTTAAGCAAGTAGCTAAAAATATAACTTGCCCAAAACGTATTACTAATCTAAGTGAGGGACATTTGACGAGTCACCACGAAACTTTGAAACTGACTTCAACCCACTTACAGTTGGTAAGAAATTACATTCTTTTGAAAACAATGTAAAATAAAGTTAACGTATTATCGTTAATATTCTAAATAATTGCTGTAAGTAGTTTAAAGTTAACTTCTAACCATTTTTTTACTTTTGATTATTCTGCTCATTTATTGTAAAAATCAAATAAAAAAAAAAAGAGAAAGTGAGTATTTAATTTACAAACATTTGTGGAGAATTTAAGATTAGAAAAAATTGTTCATTATGATAATTCTTCTAGGTTAGTAGCTTGAAGGGCTAAATGAAAAATATTTTAGTCATTGGAAAATGTAACTTACATTTGTGGCGGACAAAATTTGACACAGTAACTATATCGTAATTGGGCAGAAATTAAAATGAACTTGTTCATTTTCTATGATGTTTCACAAAATGTTCTCATTTCTTGATCAGTAGAGGAAAAAATGAGATTTACACATTATAACACAAGCAGATTTGTTTCTGTGTTGCTTGAACTGGCATGTTATTAAAGTAGAGATTTGGTATAACTTACAAAATTAAATTGTAAACCTCATTATATTTATATACATACACACAGAGGCTATTATAAATATATTGACGTATGCATGGAATGTATTATTCTAATTATCAGACTTGAATCATAACTTATGGAATCCTTGTAAGAAATTAATTATACGGGTTAATGTTCAGTTAGTGTAGTATAATATTTAGGTTTAAAATGATAAACTTTAAATGGTCGACTCTTTAAGTTGTATATCATTTCTAATTTTACACGTGCAGTAAAAATGCAGTTTTCATGTAATGACACTACAGAGTAAGAGCTTAGATTAAGCTTAAGATATAAAGTTTACTTGCTGTACTTTATTTAGACAAGAAACATTGAAGGTGAGAAAATTTCTGTTTTTAATCTCAGTGTGGAAAGCTTTTCTTTATTTAATACTCCAGACTGACAGAATATGTTTTGGTACACGTACTCCTGAAAATTTGAAAATCAATAACCGTTTTACTGTGGCTGGGACATGTATTTCCCAGTGCTTCCACCCTCTTACAATGCCACTGAAACGAATGTTTCCCATTGTCATTCAAGATTGCTGTGCGTGACATATGGGAGTAAAATGAGTTGGAATATATTTATTGGTGTACCACCTAATGTTGATATATAGTGTCCCTCAAGGTAGTGAAAGTGAGTCAAGTGGTGTCCAGATGCATGATAATGAAGAGGCAATGAGACAAGAGGATGCTAGCTCTCCATCTAGTGATGATAGTCAAGATAATGAACCTGGACCCAGGGGAGGAAGGCGTAAACAGCATCGACAGTGGAAAACATTTGTCTCATTCACAGTGTGAGGGGAGGGAACACTGGGATATATCCTAGCCACAGTGAATGGGTTAAAAAAAAGAAAATAAAACCCTCAACTCCAAATTATAAGGCAGTCTTGGAGAGCTACCATTGTGTTCTACCAATCAGCATTTAACATTCTCTTGAATCATTTCTTTTGATTTATCCTTTTATTAACATAAACTACTCTTTAAGTCAATGCCTTACCTCTCATGCATTGACTTAACGATCTGACTAAAGGTATACAGCATAAAGTTGGGAAGCACAGACTTAGATGTGTTAAATTACTGTTGTTGTCACAGTAATGTTGTTATTAATAACAGGTATTAATATTTGTTTCCTCTATTATGTGCAATTACATGTACAGTATTTGATGTACATAACAACCAGGATGTATACTGTAAATAATGGAGTTTGCTACAGCCAATGATATTGTGTTCTTAGACAATTATTAACTTCTGATCAAAGAAGGCTACCTGCATAAGTCATAACCCAATAATTAAAGCATTCTAATCAGTACTGGTAATGAAAGTAAATTTATCTACATGAAAAAAGACAGATTGTTGATCTGATGTAATACTGGAAAACTTCCTGAACATCTAGTCACCATGTTTCATTTTAGTATGTTCTTAACATCCAATCACCATGTTTAATTTTAGTATGTTCTCAACATCTACTCACAATGTTTAATTTTAGTATGTTCTCAACGTCTAATCACCATATATAATTTCAATATGTTCTAGCATCTAATCACCATATATAATTTCAATATGTTCTAGCATCTAATCACCATATATAATTCAAATATGTTCTAGCATCTAATCAGCATATATAATTTCAATATGTTCTAGCATCTAATCAGCATGTTTCATTTTAGTATGTTCTCAAACCTAGTCACAATGTTTAATTTCAATATGTTCTCAACATCTAATCACCATATATAATTTCAATATGTTCTAGCATCTAATCAGCATGTTTCATTGTAGTATGTTCTCAACATCTAGTCACCATATATAATTTTAGTATGTTCTCAACATCTACTCACAATGTTTCATTTTAGTATGTTCTTAACATCCAATCACCATGTTTAATTTCAGTATGTTCTCAACATCTAGTCACCATATATAATTTTAGTATGTTCTCAACATCTAGTCACCATATATAATTTTAGTATGTTCTCAACATCTACTCACAATGTTTAATTTTAGTATGCTCTCAACATCTAGTCACCATGTTTAATTTTAGTATGTTCTCAACATCTAATCACCATGTAAGTTTTCATTACATTCTCCACATCTAGTCACTGCTTTCATTATATAAAGACTAACAAGTTTGATAGAAGTACTGTAACACTAGTCTGTTCCATGGATAGTAGTTTGTTTTATTCTTTTGTTATGTACAAAGTGGAAAAGTTTTCTAATAAAGTATACATCTGAGCTGTATTGGAAAAGATCTCCAAATAAGGCACCATATTTTTTGTTAAGTAATGTTTGATAACGATTTGATTAACTAATGTTGTGTTGTATTATGGTTCAGCTGTAAATAGCAATAAAGTTTATATAATACTTCTCGTAGTTTGTACCCAATTATTACCTCCACCAACGAAGGTGGACGGATGTCATGTTTTCACCCCTGTCTGTATTTGTCAGCAAGCTTTCTTGAAAATGGCTGAACATATTTGGACAAAAGTTGGTGCACATTTGGATTATTACCCAAATTAGAAGTGTTTAGTTTTTGGAGGGTCAAGGTCACGAATATCCAAAAAATCCCTGTCTGTTAACATGGATACTGATTTTTCACACTATTTTTGCTCTATAACTCAGACAAAAATGATCGTATTTTGAT